ATAGGATTTTCACAATATTTCGTTTTACTTCTGAAATTCCATTTCCAAGCAACAATTCCAATTAAAAAGTGTTGCAGTACCAATGAAAACCGTTGCCCCGAGACACTTCGCCAAAAAAATGTCTGTATACTCCCCAAAAGCGTTAACGTTGTCCGCAATCAGCAGACCTAAATGTTGGTTTTATGGTGGAAGCAATAAGGTCGCATACCGGTAAGAACGATGCCAATAAGGTTGACAATATTTGAATGCTTTCCCAGTGTCATTAAGATACTGGCTTCTTTCAGGAAAGCTGGAATTTCTTTGGTGTTACGTGGTATCTTTACTGCCACATGCTGTCGATTGCGACGACTTTGTCTACTGAAATATTATCGTTGGAAATATCCGGCACTAATAAGTTTTTTACGTAAACTGATCGATCAATGCTCGTGTTGTTGAACAACAACGGGTGGCACTAGCTTTGCGAGTCCAGTCCGGAAGTCCGATCGCATCTATAATCACTTATGTCATTGAGTCTTATTTATGACGATAACGCAAGTATTTTGCAACTGAATGCACCTGTTTTTCTCGTTTTCTCTTGTAGCATGCGTACAGTAGCATTGCTGCTAAAAGAAGGAATATGACAAAGCCCACAGCGATTCCACCCAGTATTCCATCTAGATGGTCGTCTGTAACTGGAATCCAGAAAATAATGCGTAAATAATTAAGTGCAGCGAATCGAAGAATTCCTAACCGACGGTGGAATAATGCACACCTTACCATCGCTAGAATCAGGCGTAATTACAATTATGGTAGTGGTTGTTATTGTTGACGGTGCTGTACTGTCTGCTGTTACCCCGTACAGCCCAGTTTCAGAAGTGCCTGCACTAAATGCTGTGCTTGTTTCTGTTTCTTAGGTTTCTTATGTTTTCTTAGGTTTTCTTAGGTTTTCTTAGTTTTTCTTAGGTTTCTTAGGTTTTCTTAGGTTTCTTAGGTTTAAACAACTGTCGTATGTTTAATACAGCACACAAATTGAATAAAAATGAAATGCGCAGTATACGTAATAAAGTGCTGCTTAAAGCCTCAAACTACGTTCCAGCCATCTCGGGTCCAGTTGGTTGGCAGAACAAACGGCGGTCCCGGGATCCCTCTGGCGTCACCCAGATAATCCGTCGCGTAGACCTGGCAGCGTTTGTAGCCGCATGGGGTCGCTGCCCAGGCGTAACGAAGAAAACTGGCTGCAATGCCGCCACACGGTGTGTACACAACAACGGCGTTTCCGGCTGACCGATCCGGCTGACTGGTGGTGTTGCGCCACACTCGGCAATCCTCCCAGCTATCCCCGCGCAGTACCAGCGGATCACAGCATACCTGTGAAAAGAAAAGAAAATCAATTTGCGACAATTATACATATATGCAGTATGCAGGCAGAAATCCCGATTACTGAAACACGCGCCTCAAAAGTATTGGGAACGTCAGAAACAAAGTTGCTCTTTGCGTCATATTCGATGTACACGGAAACATTATCTTGACTCAACTGCACACGCTGCGGGAAGGGTCCTTGAAAGGGAATGTGTCGGTAGTACAGGACTGATACAATGCCAGCCAGCAAGCGCTGCGCGATTTCTTCTTTGAAGCGCGGCAGTTCCCTGTACGAACACATGGTAAGCGTGGTTACTGAAATACTACACCATGTATACTGAAGTCCAGAATAAAATATGGTTGACTTTATGAAGGTCACTTTGCATGTGATTAGTATACAGTTAAGTACTACATTAAATTACACCAGACTTAATTTCAAAAAGTCATTTTGCGTCTAACGACGAAACGTCTGTTGATTTACATAAATATCGTAGGGCACATTGCGGTTAATTACGTAATTTCGTCCAATAAGGTCAAATTACATGTGATCTGGTGAGTTACGTTACAACTTCAGTTCCGTGTTCATGAACATTAACTGGTAGAGTTATCTTACGAGCCAAACGGCGACTCCGGATCCGCCAGATCCATCGCCGACGCCATAAAGACGCGCACCAGCGCTGCATTGGGCACCTGCCCATAACCCGCCGTCTGTTCCCAGCGCAACCTGGCGGTGGCTCCCGGTATAGTGTCCGCATTCCTCGTACCCAGCTGCACAATACCGAAGGGCAGCGCGATATCGTGGTAAAAATGCTTCCTCCATCCATCCACCATGGCCTGGAGTAAACAGCCGTACGTATCAGGATTGATGGTGGCATCTGCCTCGCCCTGATACCAGATCACGCTGGTTAAGCGCAATTCCTTCAGCGGGGCAATCATCGCATTCCACAGTCCGGAATCGTTTGCCGGATGTGGCATAGTTCCAGGGCACTGTTCGATACTGTCTGGAGGTGTCCAGCTGCGTACTGGAAAATCAGCTTGTTCGTAGGCGCCAATCAAACCAATCGAACCTTTCTCGTCTATTCAAAAAATTAATATTTAACACATAAACTGCACAATACTAATCAGAGATTTGCTTCCGTGTGAAGGTACGTTTCTGTGGTATGTACCAAATCTTGTACGAAGATCTTCGTACACGCGGCGGCCCGTCGCCCAACACAGCGCCGAAAAGTCCTTCAGTGAATCCGGACTGGCGACTGTCCAGTTCTGAAGGATGCGCGGTTCCTGCCACTCGGTGGAGGACGATGCCGGTGCAATGCGCAGCAAACGGATGCGAGGAAATTGTGAGGATGAAGCCAATTCTTCCGAACCATTGAACATCTAAACCGATAATCCGCCATGATTAGTTTACAAAATTAATTTTGTTCGGTGTCGGTGTGTTGCTCGGAAAATGCACCGATTAGTGCATTCTGAAACCGGGACGCAGCGCTCACTGACTGACCCACTCCTGAATTTAAAAATTCATGTAATTCATGTTTTTGTAGAAAGACAGAAAGTTTCCAGACTATTCTAAAAATAATTGTATCAAGGAAATTGATCTATATTATGATCGGCCGCCCCGTGGAACTTGCCTAGAAAAAACCGCTGAGCAAATTAAAACACCGATTTCACCAACTCAGCTTGTCCGAAAAGGGTCCCACCTGCATTTTGTTTTCAAAAATATCTGCCCTGGGACCATCGCTCGGATGCCGGTACCGGTACAGGCATCAATTCAAGGTGACCTTGAAAGACCTTTTGCATAAAACACTGTTGCGAGGAGCAGCTAAAACTCAAATGCAGAGTATATAGTGTAATAAAAAAACTAACTTTTTCAAATAAACTTCGAAAAAATTTTGAACTTTGTCACGTTTCAACAAAATGCTCTAAAGCGAAGAAATTTTCTTTTGGTTTTCGGAACCGGAAATCGCTTTTGCACTGGAACTTTTTAGCTTTTCCGCGTTCTCATACAATGTTCTCTGTGCATTACAAAACACTTAGATCTACAATAAACATAAGACTTAAAACTAACTTAAATACCAAAAAAGTTCAGGCAGTTGAATGCCACGTGAAGGCATTCAAACATTTTAAAATTTTATTCTCCTCATATCTCGTAAACAATTTTCACACCGATGTATAAAGTACAAATCCTTTGGTTATAGGGTGATCATTATTAAAGCTACAGATATGAAACTGAAAAAGTGTTTGAGGGTGCGAAAGCGAAAGTTTGCGAGCGTATTCCTATTTACCTGCATAGTTTCTTTACATAGCACTGATATTAGGTGGAAGGCGAAATCGCACTTCGTCCACTCGATGGTAGTGAGAAAACAGGCAGTGTCTAACCATAGTTTGCAAGCGAAAGTTTACTAACCGTGAGTTTTCCTATGAAATGAAAACTCACTGACCATATGAGAACGGAATTTAACCGAACCTTTGCCCAGTACCCTCTGCTCGATGCTAACAAAGTTCTTGAGCTGTCGAATGAACAGAACCGCACAAAGGTTACACTATCCACTAACCAGACCTACTGAGTTATAGGAAACATACTGACCGTCGATGAGGCCTGTAGAGTGAACGGAAGCTCAAGTTTCAGGTAAGGGACACTATCTTAGTGTTAGTGGCTTAGACCAGATAAGAGCAGAACCGTTATCATTGTCCATCACAACGCTAACGCTCCAGCTGTCAAACGAACAGAACTGCAAAAGCTGGCATGTCTATCCACCGACCAATCCCACTGAATAAAGGGAACGGTCGCCATGGTCTGAGACCCTCAATTTACCACCAGCCTTACCACCTCTTACTACAAACAGTGTGACCGCGAGGGCTAGTTTTTGTTTTGTTGGTGGCTATTGCAAATAAACAAAAAATGTTAACTACCTTGTACCGGGTAGAACGACATCCCGTGCAAATGCAAACGCCATTAGATGCTTAAAATCTTTGTCATTAAAAAATTTTTTGGAAACAGGTATCCGGAAACAATCGAAATTCAGAAAGAGCCACCCCACAGGTCATACCAGTGTTTAGGGATCACTAATCAGGGCTGCTGCGTAAACGGAAATTACAGGACCCGCTATTGCTGTTACTAATGTTCGGCGATTAGGACAAGGTGATCTCTGTTGCTCGTTATCATTAGGCACAAGTACTTACCATATAGCCGTTTTTTTACACGGTGCAGCGAGAGAAGTGTTCGGCAAGTTCATCAAAACTGAGGCATCTACATTATGTTTACGAATTTTGTCTTAATACGTAGATAACAGGATGGCTGACCTTTGCCAACGGAAACGCCATGTTGGCCCCACCGCCGCACAAAAACACTTCTCCAAAATAAACGTCGCGGAGACGAATATGACCAGTGCGGTTGCCTCGCTCTATTTGATATACGTCGATCTCAAAAGGTCCACCCAGTATATGAATCCAAAAGTTCGTTTTCCAAATGCCTGCATCTAATTAAATCAAACACGTATTACTGCCATGGTCGCATGTAATCCACAAACCAATGTAACTCAGATGCATAATAACAATACATTGCTGCAATATTACTAGTACATAATTATAATGACGAGGCTACCAACTAACGAGTATTATGTAAATATACGCAAATACGCAAACAAAAAGCCTACCGACTTCTCTAGACAACTTCGTCTGGAGTAACCGTTCTGTGTTTTTTTTATTTTTTGGGAATTTTTGTGAATTAATAGTGAGCCCTGCCATTTCTGGTTTGAACCAGATTGGCAGGGACAAATTGTTCAGAGGAACTACAGATACACTCTCCAGTGTACGAACTGCCCTCGGTTTTCGCAGCATCTTTTCGTGACTTTTATTCCTCTCATTATTCCTTACTCAACTTCATACTGCTCGAGTCATACGTCGGAACCCATTCTTGTCTGTCTAATGGAGTCGTCAGGACGCTGGAGCCTGTGCTGCGGGAGCGACTGCATGCACCGTGAGGGGGGACATTCTGGGGCGTCTGAATGTTGTGCTTCAAGTGATCAGGGGGCTTGCCCTTATTAGAGCCCCCAAACAGTAAAAAATTTTTGTACGGCTACGTACGGTTTCCGCTTACGGCTCCTACGGCTACGGTACGGTTACGGCAGAAATAACTGGATTGACCGTACGGTATACCGTATACGGCAAGCCCATTGTAAAACCGTGTTTTTGGCTTACGGTTACGTACGGCACTTTCGTTACAGTACCAATTTTCTCTACGGTTACGTACTGTTGTGCCGTACAGTATGCCGTATACGGCAGTACAGTATACTGTTTGGGGGCTCTAGCCCTTATAACGCTTCGCGTTTGGCCCTTTTAACCAGGGATCTCATCAGCGCGGCATTCGGTCAAACCCTAAATCCTGCTTCTATGGTAAATGCGGCCGAAGAACGTGGATCTGTGCTGTGGAGTCTTGCTGACTTCTGGAACTCTCATTGCGCGTTGGATCGTCTCATTTGGATGTTCATGTCATTGGGGTATCGTGAAATGAACGTGAATCTCCCAGGCTCTGGAGACGGATGGAGGAAGCGCGGATTTAAATTAGAGCTGCACACATATGATGATTCTGACAAAATTGCCCATTGGCCAGTTTGCTACAATTGCTGCAGAAAAGTACAACTGCTGCAGAAAGAAAAGCCTCTCCCTCCTTAAGGGAAATGGCCCGGTACATGGTGTCAAAAATGGGATACATACACTAAAACTTTCGCTTGCGCGCACTCCGAATCACGTTTTTGTAATACTTTCTGTCATTCTAAAGCTAAACGATTTGTTTACATTGTTTGTGGTAAAACATTTTTCTTACGATTTGCCGTGTTCATACTTTCGAGAATTACAAAAACAGTTGCTACAATAAAAGTGGCTCGCGTTCATACTATTTCTACGATTGTTGCAAGCTTACTATTATATACTCCTAATTACTGGTCCAGTTCGTTCGTAATCACGTACACGTACATGGTTAATATCTAACCAGGGCACTACTTCCGCCTCCAAGTTAAAAAAATTTCGCTTGTTGTAAAAAGGTAGTATACGAGTAGGGTATGCTAAAAAGATAAGTATTTCCATCTGCAAGCGTCAGAAGGGTGTGGCCAGACAAAGATTGAAAATGAGTACATTTCGCTACGTAGTACTGTATTGTACTTACAGTTACAATGTATCGGGAGTAATTGCATTATTTTTATGCCATATTATTAAATATTAATAAATATTATATTATTAAATATTAAATATAATATTAAATATAATATTTATTTTTAATATATATTATTAAATATAATATTATTAAAAATTATTAAATATTACTTTTGCGTGCGCTGTGCCAGCCGTGGATACTTCCAGACTTCCAGATATCGAGAGTCGACGTAACTACTGCGCGCGTGCTATAGCCGATGGCATTGCAGCAAAATTACGAATTTTCGAATTTACATTTGCTAGTTGGTAAGCTGTTTCAGTTCGTATGTACGTACACGATACTTACGATTAACGAACTATTACAAAGTAGTCAATTTATGACCCAGCGCTAGGCAGCGATTGCTGGGCTACCGCAAGCTTTTTTCGGACATCTGGAAGTGTCTCCGTCTGGCTAAGTGGCCGCAAAATACAATTACGGCAATAAATGCAATTTAACTTTACTGCATTGTAATAGTATGTAGCAATCATAAGCGAATTTAACTCGCTGTGGCGGGAGGGGCACTGAGAACCCGGGAACCCAAAAGACGGTGAATCAATCTGCTAATTTTTAAAGCAATTAAACCGGTTTAGTTTTCGTGAAAATCAAAGTTTGCTGTCACAAATTACTGTACCAGAAATTTTATTTTCGCGCGAAGCCAACGAGCGATTTTGCTGCAAAACTGCAAGAAATTCCATTAAAAACAATAGAAACAATTCCAAATATTTTTACAGCGAAAGCTAAAGGGCATGAAGGGAGGCTGTATAATCTTTTCGGGTCTATAGAAAAGGTACACTTTCGCGCGAAGCTGACGCACGTTTTTACTACGGGAACTACAAGAAATTCGATAAAAATTAACAGATAATTATGAATTTCTCGAAAAGCACTTCCTGAAGCATGGTTCACTAGCAAATGAGTAAGTGCGCTTACTAACACATGTTTGCATTGTAGAACAGGATGACCTCTATGCCTTCGTGTGGGGATTTGAAATTCATTTATAAAGGCACACTAAAGAGCTACTTCCGCGTGGAGCGCGAAGCTTACAGACTACAGTTGATTTTACTTCAAAAATCGCTAGAAATTTAAGTAAAAATAGTAACTTTGTCGGTTTCTTGCAAAAATGGGTATCTTTTTTAAGCAGTACTCCCCCACTTTACTTTTTTCAAGTACCCGCTTTTGGAAAAATTCCGGAGGGGCACGTGCCCCCCCCCCCTCTAAATTCGCCCTTGAATTAGTAGTGTACTCATTTAATTTTTGTTGAGCCACGCCCTTTTGACGATTGCAGATGAAAATATTTTTTAAAGTGTACTACCATGATAGTTTACTATCTTTTTACAAAAAAGGAGCATTTTTTGAATTTGAGCCGAAAATATTGCCCTGGTAAGTAATAAAGCTTAGCTTAGCTTGTATAACTGTACAGTATAAGCGAAGATCGAAGCTTGTATACAATTGTTAGGCTGAGCTTGTATACCTGAGCTTGTATAGCTTAGCTTGCAATAAAGCTAAACTTATAGCTCGTATAAGTTGGAAATAAGAACTACAAAGTATACGTATAGTTAAACTTTTATTGCTGCAATAATTAAACAACGGGATGGGATGAGCAACACATGAACTCACCATTAACGTCGACGGAAACCGATTCGCCAAAAATTACAACCTGTGCTTTTGCTCCCGGCTGTCCGTAGCCCCACAATACCGAACTAGGCTCATCAAACAACAGCACCATTCCATCCTGGAAATAATTAGCTAGTCGAAAATTGAATGTAGTCTGAGCGTAGTTTCTTAAAAGAACCGCCCTGACCGAATTCACAGACAATAAAATTGTCCAGCATAAAATGAGCATCTTAAATCACTGAAACAGTTCGTCGTGCAAATGAAAGGATACGGAGCAAAAATAAAAAAAAGAGGCTCAAATTTGTGGCTTATCGCTTATGTTTCGTTGGGGTTTTGGGGATGGAGTGCCGGTACACATAAATACGACGTCGACAATTACAAAAGTAAGGTCCTGTCTACGTGGTGGTCTGCAATAGACAGATGCCAATTCTACCACAAAAACTCAGCCATATCTGTACTTTGCGAATGGCTTATGCGGATATTGCTTTCGAACACGGCTAGGTTTATATAAGAATGAATCTGTTTTATTACAGATTTCGTGTGCAGATAATACTGAGAAAATGACCGATTTCCTAGGTAGTGATAAAAGGCCACGCTTGCACCGTATCCTGTTCCGTGTGCAACACATCTATTGCGGTACCTGGCCATCTTCATTCATTTCAATTTGATGGCAATGAAAGGCCTAGCTTAAACTGAATGGGCAGACAGGCACACTCAGTGTGGTCCTTTGCAAGATGCATATATATACATAGTAGGGACCAGAGAGCGGAAAATTTTACTGTTTTGAGGCGAGATTGATTGCCGTAAAACTTAAGTAATGGCGAAAGACAGAGCAGAATGGAAGCATAGAACAAATATGGAAGCCGAGAGTATGGAAGCCGTATGACGAGCCGTTCGTGCAAAAAGGTTTTATGTATGTTAGGCATGTTACTTGTGAAGTTATGAATTGTAATATCATAACTTCACAAGTATATTATGCTTGTTATGATTGCCATGCTACTCATGTTACGGTTTTTAAGTATGTTATGTACTTTAATAACGCAATTTTACGTATAATACTGTTTTGTATTTCATTTTAAATTCTTTATAATTATTATATTACTATACTGGCTTCGAATTCAGAGCAAGAAATCTTCCGAATTTACTTTGCGCGTGTAATTTTGGTGTGGGCTATGGGCAAACGGTATCATAATAATACCGGTACGTGTCATACATGTAGATCATATTGGAATGTCAAGTCCTTAGTGAAGCCTTCGAAAGACTTTTCGGCAAGATTTGCTAGAAGTTTCACTAAAAATAAAAAGTTATTTCAATTTATTTTCCCCAAATGTAATGGCAACACGCGCTGTGGCACAGTGGCAAGTGGCAACTGTACTATGTACAAGCCGGTCCGGATGATGAGTTAGTGCCGCTCTGCACTAGTATAGGCTTTTGGCGAAGCTATATATAGCTTCGCCAGTAGCCTGTACTACTGTAGAGCGGCATTGGATGAGCTCGTAAAGATATCGGTCATGCATATTGAGTGCGCTGTTGGCGCTCGAAGAATGGTATCAAAACCAGTCAGCCCTGGAACCCGAAGAGAATGGCTGGCCGGTAGAATACTGGCTCCAGCAGTTTGCAGCCCGATTCGCGGAGACAGATAGGCAGGTGATGGCTATAGCGGACATGAGCAATCGGAAGTACAAGTTCGGGCAAGAGACCTCGGAGCAGTACTACGACGCCATCATCAACCTCAAACAACGAGGCAACCTGAGCGATGTGCTGGCCGTCTTTTACCTGCGGACAAACATCACGAATCCAAACCTGCGAGCCGCCTTTGACATCCGTATGCCAAAGGCTAAGCAGGAGTTTCGTGACTATATCCGGGACTATACATGGGGAAAGCCCATGTATCAAGTTGAGAAAAACGGCAATGTCACCAATTACATCACCGTCAGAACGGCGACGCCGATCCCGTCGATTCAACAGGCTCCCGGTTACATCCAACCCAGTTCGTCAGGTTACCAGAATGTGCAACCGGGACTCCATCGACCAAGTCCCCCGGCGACACCCCCTCCTCAAGCCCAGGCTCATTTAGAGCAGACTTGGGCGGCGATGGCGGCGTTGAACCTTAACGGATCCTCAACAAGGACCGTGGTTCCGCCGCCCGCTTATGGAAATAGCGGGCAACCGAGTCAACCTCAGAGCCAGGGTTACTCCGGCTATAACCAGCCCTAACAGGGCTACAGCCAGCCTCGGAGCCCAAGCTATGGTCAGCCTCAACAAGGCTTTGGCCAACCCCAAAAGGGTTACGGCCAGAACTCCGGTTACGGCCAACCTCAGAACCAGGGGTATGGCTCCGGAGGCGGATATGGACGCGGTGGAGCCACACAATATGGCGGCTCCGGCGGAAGACGTGGCAGTCGCCGCGGAAACTTCGGCAAACGCGGAGGCGGATATGGCTAGGCGCAGAATGCCCAACGGCAACCCCGCACACCACAGCAGGAGGCTCGCCAATTAGCGACGTATGTAGATCGGATGGAAGCAAAGTTCTTGCAGTGGACACAGGACGGAACGTTCTCGTGCCCTCACTGCATGTGGGACAACCACAACCAAGCCAGTTGTGGGTATGTCGGACTCCGGGAGCCAGATAACCCAAACCTGAGATGGTACCAAGATTGAAGGTACCGATACGATAACGGATGGCCATTGGGTTCGGCGAATCAGAACTACGCGAACATTGTGCCGCCACCGCGCCCCCCCTCAGCAGAATGCCCGCGGAGGAAATCAACATCCTGCCCAAGAAGGCGCAGAGACCCGTCAGAATTGCGGACGTTCCCCGTTGGCGACACCGCCACCAGGCCAACGGCCGCAGTTGCCGCATTCCCCGGCTCTCAATAGGAGCCAGGGCGGGTTTTCACCGGTAGCTGGCGGGCCGTCCCCGGGAACGTCCCAGGGAAACGCATGAGGTAGGTAAGCTCCGATGACTTGTTCGACCTCCGTCATCCAACGGAACCACCGGATAAGGATAACCCTACTAACAGGATCAACCCTTTGGACACAACTCGGAACTTTGAGTTGGATTCAGCCTCCGCAATGGTCAGCGAAGCTGCGAGAATCTTGGCGGCGGGGACGGTAGCCCAATCAGGCACTGGACTTCCCCCGTTCGGAAACTCGGAGAACCGAACCGAACCTCGCAGCACCGATAATGCGGCTCCCGGACCAGAAGAGGTACCCAGGGGGATCGGCCCAGGAACTTGGGCCCGATCGGCAGGAGCACGGAATGCTCCACCCGCCCCGAGAAGTGGAGCCGGAGGGGTCGGCCGAGGAAGTCGGAACCGACCGGCTGGGACGAGAAGCGTCACCGAGCCGCCTGCAGGGTTCAGTGTCCAATTAGGTACCACGAACCCCGGGCTTAGCGGACAACCGGGACGCCGGACCGCAACACCACAGGATGCCAGAGTGACATCCGATTCGTCACCGGTAGGCCATCGGGGAAGACGGCCCGTCGAAAGGACGGAAGATCCCGCCGTACGAGCAAAGACTCCGGAGGGATGGGAATCAGTCGCATTGGAAGTACCCGTCTGCTCTCGGCCGGAGGAAGCGGACCTCTTCCAGCGCCAGCCAGCGAGAACTGTAACCGGCTCGCGCACGTTCTTCAACATGCAGTATAACTTGTCGATACTCCGAGAGAGTGAATCATCCATGGAAGAACGTATAAACAGCCGAATCACTGATGGACGGAGCAGCTAACCGCCCGGAGGTGCAACACTCGGTTAATGAGGTTTCCCCTGGCCGATTATCTCCGGCTGAACGACTTATCCGACGCAACCGAGCCTCGGACGCATCTGGATCATTGGTTGTCTACCCACAAGACGGAGTAGACTCAGCAAGACCAGTCCAGCAACCTCTTCAACCGCCGCGCGTAGACATCATTAGTTTCCCCGGTGAATCAGCCCTGATTCCGATGGAAGTTACCATACGGGAAGTAGGTAACTTTCCAACCGCACGCATCCTCCGGACGACCTAAAGTAGTCCGGGCATGGACCCATGAAGTCCAGATTGGACCCACCACAACTATGGCTATGTTGGACACTGGTGCCGAAACATCCCTAAAGAAGGAGCGTTTCTGCCGGGCCAACAACCTCAAACTCGAATCCATGGGGTGCTTCTCCAAAATACTCAATGTAGGCGGAAAATAAGCCTTCATGGTGACCCATTGCTGCCCCGTACCGGTAACGTTGCAAGGATACACCAGACCCCATACCTTCCATGTTCAACCGAACAACTCGGATGTTCCATCCTACTTGGATGCGACTACTTGCACTCCAAGTTTATTCTCACCCGGGCGCCGATCCCCACTGAGGATCAGCAGAACCCATCTTCGGGTGTAGTGCAGCCTATTGCGATACCAGAGGCATCGGGCACGGCCACGAGCACGGCTTGGATTAATCGGACGGTTAACCCGATTATCCCCGGACCCTCGTTTTGCCCAGAATGCTCGGCCACAGAACGAAGCCTCGTCACGGAGCTGCAAGTCCACAACGCCATAGAACAACATATGGCCAAGGTACGGACAACCCGGCTGGAACCAATCAAAGGGATATTAAAGTCTATCCCGATACCAGAGGCATCGGCCTCTGGTATACTTAGACAAAAGTACCGAACCTGGTTTTCCGGCATTCAACACGTCCTTGAGGCCAGGACGGTCGGAATAATGGCTGAACTTGGAAAAGTCGTAGCGAGAACTGATGACCTGATCCGCCAAACCAGGGAAGAATGCCAGGCGGTAATCAACCTGACCGGAGCCTTAGAAGAAGATATTATCGAATGGGAAGAGAAACGCACTGTACTCAACGCACAATTCGCGGAACATAAACTTCCCACGCCGCCGATACTGGAGATCCAAGCTCATGAATTTGGGGCATAATGCTTTTGATGTCATCTTTTTGGCCGCATAAAGTCCAGATTTGCAGCAGTATCCATGGATTCGGCTTCCAGCCCAAGGAATCGTAAAGTTATACTGTTTCTGACACTTGATCGGTCTTCATGGTAACGAAATAATTACGCGTATTGTTTTCACTGTTTGGACAAAAGTTTTTCTGATGTCATAATCACTACGTACCTCGCGCACGACAGTGTGAAAACCGGCACTCTTTCTGAGACTTTGGATACCGACATATTCCCGCTGCTCGTTTGTCTTTTTTGCGTCCGGCTGTTTACTGTTAAGGTTATTCAGCGCGACCACGGGATGAGCGCTTTGACCCGTTACACTTTCCAAAGTATTCAGCCAAATAGCGACAAATTCTTTGCGTCCGGACGTCGGGGCGCAAAGCCAAAATCTCTGCCCCCGGTTTGTCGGGTCGCATAGCAGTCACCTTAATTTTATTAATAATTAACCATGCTCGAAGAAATGATTTGTAAGAAATGCGTAATCATTTAGTATTCATACAGAATTTTTAGCATTTCC